TGTGAGATAATGAAGTGCACCCACCAAACTCCTATACTTAGTGCCATCCTCCTGGCTCAAGGGCACACCTTCTGTAAGAGAAAGTTTTTCTGAACTAGACAAAGGTGTCAATGATGGCTTACAACTCTGCATCCCTGCCTTGCTCAAAAGATCAACGGTATACTTTTCCTGAGAGAGATGGAGACCACCCTCTTTGTTCGGCCTGACCTCAATTCCAAGAAAATAATGCAAATCACCAACATCTTTAAGAGCAAATTCATAATGTAAATCTTTCAAAAGAGCCATGACTACTGCATTAGAGGAACTTGTGACAATGATGTCATCAACATAGATGAGAACAAAGATAAATGTGGCATGCTGATTGTAAATGAACAAGGAAGTGTCTGACTTGGAAGGAACAAACTCAAGAGACTGCAACTTGAAACTCAAGCGAGAATACCATGCTCGTGGAGCCTGTTTGAGTTCATACAAAGATTTGTCCAGTCGACAAATATGAGATGGCTTGTGGGGATCGACAAGCCAGGAGGTTGTTTCATATATACTTCCTCTTCCAAAATGCCATGAAGAAACGCATTCTGTACGTCTAGCTGAGAAAGACTCCATCATCTGGATACAGCAATGGAGAGAACAAGACGAATAGCGGCAGCTTTAACAACCGGACTAAAAGTGTCCTCATAATCAAGCCCATACCTCTGTTTGAACCCTTTTGCAACCAAGCATGCTTTGTAGCGATCGATAGTGCCATCTGACTTTTTCTTGATGCGAAACACCCATTTGCAGTCAATCACATTAAGACCTGGATGAGAAGGAACAAGATGCTTGGTACGGTTTTTCTGGAGAGCAAAAAATTCATCATCCATGGCTTGTTTCCACTTGGGATCTGCAAGAGCCTCATGAACAGTGCGGGGTTCACCTGTAGGAACAACAGCAACCAACCCATGTTTTGTTTTACAATTAACAGGTTGTAGTGTACCACTTTGAAGACGTGTCCGCAGAAGAATGGAGGTGGCTGGAACGGGTACAGAGGATCCTGTAGGTGCAGCCTCCAATGAAGCAGCGGATCCCGTCGATCCCGAGGCGGAGACAGCGACCTCAGGGGGATCTTCTATGGTGCGCGACTCATCAGGAGAAGGGGAGCTCGGCGCAGATAATCCAGAGGAGTTGGGCGTAGTCGACTGGAGGGGCGCAGCGTGCACGGGATCGGTGCGGTGCGGGTCCCGCCTCGTGTAGACGCGGGGGACAGGCGCAAAGCGGGCTGGAGACTGGTCCCCCGTTGTTGGTTGGCTGGTTGTGCGGGCGGGGACCAACCCCACAAGAGGGCGACATGCGGCGTGAGGAGGTTGGCGTAGGGGGGAATCAGTCGGGGAGGCGCGGGCCTCTTGATGAGGCGGTGATCCCGGCGTAGATGCACCCTGACCTGACGCGGTCGGGCGCGTGGATCCTGAAGCGGATCGCCCCTGGTCTCCTGTGCCCGCGGCAGAACCCTCCAGGGCATGGTTTTCTTAAAAAAAACTTGATTTTCTTCACCGTTTGCGCTGCAGTTTGTTCCTGTAACACCAGACTAGGTATAGGATTAGGAGAGCTAGTCAAAACTAGATCATCACAATTATCATTACCCATACGATCAACTCCAGAAAGATGGGAAGGAAACAGGAGGATCTCTTTGCGAAGGAGAGCACCGACATTAGGATGGAGTGTGGCAAAAGGAAATTGTGTTTCATCAAATACCACATCACGAGAAAGATAGACGCGGCCAGTAGCAATATCAAGACATTTAACACCCTTATGTTGAGCATTGTATCTAAGAAAGACACATTGCTTGGAACGAAACATAAGTTTACGAGTGTTATAGGGACGGAGATTGGGCCAACATGCGCAACCAAAGACTCGAAGAGTGGTGTAGTCAGGTGTGATATGCAAAAGACGCTCGGTGGGGGTCTCATTAGAGATGACACGACTAGGCCACATGTTGATAAGATGCACAGCAGTAAGAAACGCTTCATCCCAAAATTTTAGTGGCATGGAGGCGGAAGCAAGGAGAGCTAGTCCTACTTCAACAATGTGCCGGTGCTTGCGTTCGGCTGACCCATTTTGCATGTGCGCATGGGGGCATGAGACATGATGGGAAATGCCAATCTTAAAAAAATTGAGCTTTTCGTATTCCCCACCCCAATCAGATTGCATAGCAATGATTTTACTATCAAACTTGCATTCTACAAGAGCTTGAAAGTTGTGAAACACCTGAAAAACATCAGAACGCTTTTTGAGCAAATAGATCCATGTGTACTTACTAAAATCATCAATAAAGCTTACATAGTAAGAATGTCGACCAAAATAGAAGTAGGGGCTAGACCCCATACATCAGAAAAGATAAGCTGCAAGGGCTTGGTTGACATACTAGTGGATACAGGATATGGCAATTGATGACTTTTTGCTCGCTGGCATGAATGACAAACAGTCTCTAAATTTCTCTCACCAACAACTGGGAGTTTATTTCTACTAAGGATTTGATGAAGAGTAGAAAATGATGGATGACCTAAGCGACTGTGCCACCTTTTAGCGGAAAGGTTGATGGCATCATAAACTCTTTTATTGTATGAGCAATACTTAGGAAGTAAAGTATAGAGTCCTTCCACACAGACACCTCTATGGAGAATTTCCTTCGTGACATGATCCTTTATCAAAAAGAAGAATGGGTGAAATTCTAAAAAGACATTGTTATCAAGGGCAATGCGATGAACACATAAGGGAGTTTTGGAAGCATTAGGCACATCCAAGATATCTTTTATTTCAAGGTTTTTGTATGGGGTTTTGATATGTGATTGACCAATATGACTTATCTCCATACCTGCACCGTTTGCCGCGGTGTAGACTTGATCATTGCCACGATACTTCTCATGAATTGTTAGCTTCTCCAATTCACCCGTGATATGATTTGTTGCACCGGTATCCATATACCAGTTGGTATCGACACCGTATGACGTATCAGCTACAGCAGCGATTTTTTTCTTTTGGGACGTATCATCGGCATAACGCCAATCACAGTCCTTAGCAATATGGTTAGTTTTCTTTTGCATATTTGACATTTACCCTCGTAGCCTTCATAGCCTTGGAAATTTCAGCCCCTGTTGCCGTTGGAGGGGGGGCGCCGGCCATTGTTGTTGCTGCTAGGGTTCCCCTGGTGATAGTAGCCGCCACCACCATGATAGGAACCGCCACCGCCACCGTAGTTGTTCTCGTGGTAGCCTCCAGCACCACCATTTGGGTAGCCGCCGATGCCGCCGCCACCATAGCCACCTCCATCGTAGCCGCCAGAGTCGCCACTTCCGGATCAGCCACCTTAGGGTGGCCACCGCCGCCATAGCCAGGGCCACCATGAGGACCGCCACCATTTCCCTTCTGGTTTGGGTTGCCGTGGTAGCCGCCCTTGTTACCTCCTTGTCACCCACCGCCGCGGGAGATGGAGTTTGCAGAAGATTTGAAGCCGCCAACTCCGTTGCCATGGAACATCTCGACCCTCTGGTCGAAGTTGGCCACAAGAGAGAAGAGGGCGTTGACGGTGGTAGGCTTCGTGCGCACATCCAGCACAGAGACAATCGGTTGATACTCCATATCGAGTCCAGCAACGATGAAGGAGATGAGTTCTCCCTCCCAGAGCGGTCTACCCGCCGCCGCGAGCTCGTCGGAGAGAGACCTCATGTACCCGAAGTAGGCTGAAGCCGACTGGGATCCCTTCTACGCGTTCGTGAGAGAGACTCAGATGTTGTTGACGCGAGATAGGGACACAACGGCAAACATGTTCGCCAGTGCGTCCCAGATTGCATGTTATGTCTCAAGGGAGGCGACTTGGATGAGCACTTCTTTGGATAGGTTTCGGAGAAGATAGGAAACTATTTGCTGATCTTGAATAAGCCATGGGGAGTAGGCAGGATTTGGGACAACCTGATCCTTCCCATCGGCGCTCTTGTTTGTGATGGTTTTGGAGGGTTCTTGGATAGTTTGATCGAGATAGCCAAAAAGGCCAGCGCCCATGATCTGTGATCAGGCCTAGGCGCGCCATAGGACATAGTTGGTACGGGAAAGTGGTTCAGAGGTGTTGTTGTTCAGGCCAGAGAAGATGGCCGAGCTAGAGGAGGACATGGTTCCTGGGATGATCGGTGGAAGGTAGGTTCTGTCAATGGAGGATGGGTGGAAACGAGGTAGGGATAGGTTTCTGTCGATGGAGGATAGATGGGAACGACCTAGACGAGGTGGAAGAGTCTTGCTCTGAATACCATGTAGAATAATGATTTAAGCGTCTCAATCACCGTAACATGGTGACCCGCATGTATATGTATTGATATAACTTGGAGTACAAGAGTTCCGTATGGTTACAAGGGAAGGAGATAAGGATAGAATACAAAGATAAGTTAACTAACTATATCCTAACAATACCCTTGTATAATGCGCTGACAACAATATTGGTTAACATTGATGAGCATGCAAGGATATTTGATTTCGACAGTGAATTGCAGCTTGCAAAGCTTCAGCATTCCAATCTTATTAGGTTGCTGGGGTGGTGCATTCATGGGAAAGAAAGGATTCTTGTCTATGAGTTCATGCAAAATAGTTCCTTGGACCATTACATATCTGGTACATTTTCCGTATTATCAGAGATATTTTTCGAGCACACCTCCTTTAATTCGTAGTAAATGTGCATGAATTCAAAACATCTACAGTTAAATGGAAGGCTACAGCCGATCTAGTTTTCACCTGATTCTTTGTTCTCGTATCATAAAAACTATTCTAGTTTGGTTTAGAGAAATTCGTCAACAGTTGATAGAAGTTGCAATTTGATTATCTTTTGCAGACAGAACAAAAGGGCAATTGCTAGACTGGTCTAAGCGATTCAAGATAATTATAGGTTTAACAGAGGGCCTTGTTTACCTGCATAAAGGTTCCATGTCCTGCCTTGTCCATAGAGACTTGAAACCACATAATATATCCTCTTGGATTATAACATGAGCCCGAAGATGACTGATTTTGGATCAGCTAGGACACTGAGTTCAGATATAGAAGAAGGGCGCACAAGTAGGGTCGTGGGAACCAGGTATCAGCTGCCTACAATATTAATAATCACATATTCACATCATTTGTTTTCAGATGTTCTAATCTTACATTTTTGGCATCTTTTGTTTCACTTTTCAGTGGTTACAAAGCTCCAGAGTATGCCTCTCGAGGAGTTTACTCGACGAAGATAGATGTGTTCAGCTTTGGCGTTTTCGTTCTGGTGATTATTAGTGGCCAAAAGAATACCATACTCGACAAGCGAGGGGATACTGTTGGTGATCTTGTACGAGATGTGAGTGAAAGTACATTTCAAGCAACACTTTTTCCGTTCTCAATATTAGAAAATGGACTTACTTTAATTTTCAACTAAAGTAGTGAGTTTTAACCTATACCATTGGTTGACAATAGAAGTTGTGAACTTTTCAAACAGGGTGTGTAAAAGGAAGGCTTATTTTTTTATACCTGGCACACACTACATGTAAGTTACCTTGCATTTATTTAAAATCAAATGTGTTATATATTTCAGGCCTGGCATATGTGGAAGGACCAAAGGTTGCATGAGCTTGTGGATCCGTTGTTAGGGGACAGATATGAAGTCGCTGAGATAACGAGATGCGCTCAAGTGGCACTGCTTTGTGCCCAGGAAGATCCAGCAGATCGACCCGCCATGACAGATGTTGCTGCAATGCTGAACTCTGAAAGCATAAGCTTACCAATGGAGCCTAAGCAGCCCGCTGCGCTAATCCATGGGTGTGCCGACAGAGGCACGACAACAACATACATGGGCCAATCAAGCAGTACAATAGAAGTAACCATAACGAGTTCAGCTCCAATGTCGACCAGAGTTCAAATCATTCTTGACCCGGAGGTTTGATATAATGGAGAACATTCAGTAGTAGCATATATACAATAAAAATGTGAGCGAGGATTATGGGCTTTTTACGGCTCAGGTGGTGTACATATTCGAGATATTAAGACCAGTTTTGTATAGTGAAAATAAACATGTTTGTGTGGTAGAAGCTACATTGTAATTCAAACGTGCGATGTTTCGTGTTGTGCTATTCCTATTTTCTACTGCATCCAGGGATAGGGGCCTTGGAATCTTTGCAAGCTTGATCTTCAGGTTTCTGAGATCATACATGGCAAACCAGAACTGACACTTTGCCCGCATGTTCAACTTGAGAATAATCAGACTTCAACTTTTTTTATTTTTGCGCATAATCAGACTTCAACTTGACAAGCAGCAATGACATAACTCCGAGTTAAGATCTGCAGCTGTACACACTTAGAAACCTTGATCATGATCTCCAAATAAGCGTTGTTCTCCATGCTCAGGTAGTCATCTTTGTGTGTCTGTGTGCCCCTGAAGCGTTTAGATTTCTTGTCCTCGGATTCATTAGTGCAAGTTGGAAAGATGGAAAGGTTCATCTTATATTCGGATTCATTAGTGCGCTTTTTAGCTATGCCTAGGCCGACTCGGATTCAAATTGCTTTGCCGCCACTTCTCTCTCTCTCCCGCGTCCCTATTTTCTTGCTCGCCGCGTTTCCCCTAATCCCGATCCATCTCACCTCGCCCTCAGATCAGCCTCCCTCGATTCTTCTTCCTCTCTCTCCCAACGCCGGATCCTTGATCGTTGCTCTCGCGATTCCACAGCCGCGACCATGGCCGGCACCACGGTGCTCCCGCCGTCTCTGCTCCCGCGCCGTAGCGCCGCCGCCACCGCCGACATCAAGGGGAAAGGCCAAAAAAAGAGAAAAGCCAAATAAAAAAAGAGAAAAAAGGGAAGAGAAAAAAATGAGAGAAAAATAGAGAAGGGACAATGCTACTATTCTTTTACCACACTTGTGCTTCAAAGTAGCACCATGATCTTCATGATAGAGAGTCTCTTATGTTGTCACTTTCATATACTAGTGGGAATTTTTCATTATAGAACTTGGTTTGTATATTCCAATGATGGGCTTCCTCAAAATGCCCTAGGTCTTCGTGAGTAAGTAAGTTGGATGCACACCCACTTAGTTTCTTTTGTTGAGCTTTCATACACTTATAACTCTAAGGCATCCGTTGCATGGAAATCCCTACTCAGTCACATTGATTTCTATTAATGGGCATCTCCATAGCCCGTTGATATGCCTAGTTGATGTGAGACTATCTTCTCCTTTTTGTCTTCTCCACAACCACCATTCTATTCCACATATAGTGCTATGTCCATGGCTCACGCTCATGTACTGCGTGAAAGTTGAAAAAGTTTGAGAATACTAAAGTATGAAACAATTGCTTGGCTTGTCATCGGGGTTGTGCATGATTAAATACTTTGTGTGATGAAGATAGAGCATAGCCAGACTATATGATTTTGTAGGGATAGCTTTCTTTAGCCATGTTATTTTGAGAAGACATAATTTCTTTGTTAGTATGCTTGAAGTATTACTATTTCTTATGTCAATATGAACTTTTACTCTTGAATCATTTGGATCTGAACATTCATGCCACAATAAAGAAAACTACATTGAGAAATATGCTAGGTAGCATTCCACATCAAAAATTTTGTTTTTATCATTTACTTACTCGAGGACGAGCAGGAATTAAGCTTGGGGATGCTTGATACGTCTCCAACGTATCTATAATTTTTGATTGTTCCTTGCTATTATATTACCTGTTTTGGATGTTTATGTGCTTTACTAAACACTTTTATATCATTTTTGGGACTAACCTACTAACCGGAGGCCCATCCCAAATTGTTGTCTTCTTGCCTATTTCAGTGTTCCGAAGAAAAGGAATATCAAACGGAGTCCAAACGGAATGGAACCTTTGGGAGAGTTAAATTTGGAATGGAAGCAATCCAAGAGACTTGGAGTAGACGTCAGGGAAGCAATGAGGCAGGGAGGCGCGCCCTACCCCCTGGGCGCGCCCCCACCCTCGTGGCTCCCCTGACCGACTTCTTTCGCCTATATATGTCCATATACCCTAAAACATCGAGGAGCACCATAGATCGGGAGTTCTACCGCCGCAAGCCTCTGTAGCCACCAAAAACCAATCGGGACCCTGTTCCAGCACCCTGCCGGAGGGGGGGATCCCTCACCGGTGGCCATCTTCATCATCCCGACGCTCTCCATGACGAGGATGGAGTAGTTCACCCTCGGGGCTAAGGGTATGTACCAGTAGCTATGTGTTTGATCTCTCTCTCTCTCTCGTGTTCTTGATTTGGCACGATCTTGATGTATCACGAGATTTGCTATTATAATAGGATCTTATGATGTTTCTCCCCCTCTACTCTCTTGTAATGGATTGAGTTTTCCCTTTGAAGTTATCTTATTGGATTGAGTCTTTAAGGATTTGAGAACACTTGATGTATGTCTTGCATGTGCTTATCTGTGGTGACAATGGGATATTCACGTGATCTACTTGATGTATGTTTTGGTGATCAACTTGCGGGTTCTGTGACCTTGGGAATCTATGCATAGGGATTGGCACACGTTTTCATCTTGACTCTCCGGTAGAAACTTTGGGGCACTCTTTGATGTACTTTGTGTTGGTTGAATAGATGAATCTGAGATTGTGTGCTGCATATCATATAATCATGCCCACGGATACTTGAGGTGACATTGGAGTATCTAGCTGACATTAGGGTTTTGGTTGATTTGTGTCTTAAGGTGTTATTCTAGTACGAACTCTATGATAGATCGAATGGAAATAATAGATTCATGTTATTTTACTACGGGCTCTTGAATAGATCGATCAGAAAGGATAACTTTTGAGGTGGTTTCGTGCCCTACAATAATCTCTTCGTTTGTTCTCCGCTATTAGTGACTCTTTGTTGCATGTTGAGGCATAGTTATATGATCCAGTTATGTTATTATTGTTGAAAGAACTTGCACTAGTGAAAGTATGAACCCTAGGCCTTGTTTTGAAGCATTGCAATACCGTTTACGCTCACTTTTACCACTTGTTACCTTGCTGTTTTTATAATTTCAGAGTACAAAAACCTATATCACCATCCATATTGCACTTGTATCACCATCTCTTTGCCAAACTAGTGCACCTATACAATTTACCATTGTATTGGGTGTGTTGGGGACACAAGTGACTCTTTGTTATTTGGTTGCAGGGTTATTTGAGAGAGACCATCTTCATCCTACGCCTCCCACGGATTGATAAACCTTAGGTCATCCCTTGAGGGAATTTTGCTACTGCCCTACAAACCTCTGTACTTGGAGGCCCAACAACGTCTACAAGAAGAAGGTTGCTTAGTAGACATCACCAGACAAGGGGGAATCAACCCCGGGATCACTGTTGTGAGGATCAACTGCAGCACCTAAATCTGCTTCGTGTTCCGCGCATGTCTGCTACATAAAATCATGATATACAACAGGATTTCCTCCAAAATTAACAGCAAGGTTAGCAGGATTTTTATGAAGATTAAACGAAGGATCAGCTGTTTGTTCGTCCCCATGATCAAGAGGTTCAGATGACATGGTTTAAGGAAGAAGGAGAACTTTGGAGAGAAGAGGAATCCTGGCATTTGGATTTAATGCAGCAAAGGGAAACATCATATTCATCAAAGATGACATCACTGGAAATATAAACACGACCGGCTTGTATATCAAGACACTTGAACCCTTTGTGGAGATTGCTGTAGCCCAAGAAAATGCATTGCTTGGAACGAAATTCTAGCTTTCGAGAGTGGAAAGGGCGAAGATTTGGCCAGCAAGCGCAACCAAAAGTGCGTGGAGCATGATAGTTGGGTTTCTCATGGAACAATTTTTCCAAGGAAGTTTCAAGGTTGATCACCTTACTAGGCGTGCGATTTATGAGATAGGTGGTAGCTAGGAACGCTTCATCCCAAAACTTCAAGGGCATAGAAGCATGAGCCAAAAGTGAGAGACCTACATCTACGATGTGGTTATGTTTTCTCTTGGCCGACCCATTCTGTTGATGGGCGTGAGGGCATGACACATGGTGTGTAATGCCTACTTGACGGAAAAAGGAGTTTAGGCGCTCATACTCGCCTCCCCAATTCGTTTGCATGGTGATAATTTTGCGGTCAAAGAGTCGTTCAACTAGTGCTTGAAACTCATGAAAAACTATGAACACTTCTGATCTATGTTTGAGAATGTAGATCCAAGTTAACTTACTGAAATCATCTATGAAACTCACATAATAATTTTTCTTATTGATCGAATCTCAGTCAGAAAAACTAGCTCTAAAGGAGCATTGAAATACTACTAGAACTCAGATAGGGCAGTTGATGGCTCTTGCCTTGTTGGCAAGCATCACACACACTCTGTTTATTCAACTCATTGCTAGAAAAGGAAATATTATCGTGCTTGAGAACATGCTGAATGGTCATCGAAGACGGATGACCTAAGCGATTGTGCCACCGTGATGGTGAAATCTTGGTGGCGCCAAGTGCATGCCCGCCCGAGCTTGTGGGAGCTGATGATAGGGGATAGAGCCCATTTCTACACCTGCCGTGGAGGAGGATTTTCCTCATTGCCTTGTCCTTGACAAAGAAAAAGTGAGGGTGAGTTTCAAGAAACACATGATTGTCATAGGCTAACCGATGAGCGGAGATCAAGTTTTTAGTGGCATTGGGTACACGCAAGATGTCTTTGAGGTGAAGATTGCGAGTAGGGGTACGAACATAAGCATGACCTATGTGGGAAATCCTCATACCTGTGCCGTTTGGCATGTTTACTTGATCGTACCCATTGTACTTGTCCCGAACAGTGAGCTTGTCGAGCTCACTGGTGATGTGACCTGTCATGCCAGAGTCCACATACCAGTTGGTATCCACCCCATAGGAGTATTGGGAATTGGCGTGGTTGGTGTTGATGGCCACTGCGCTCTTCTCTTTGTTGAAGGAGATGTCGAAGCGG